TGACCAGTGCTGTTTATTTAGGGCAGAAACCTCACATTGGGTGGTGCTCTAATACATTTGTTAAACGCTGTACTGGTCACACTGATGTAATGTTGTTGGAGGGTTGATTCTTACCAAACAAAATAGCATCCTGGGAGTTAAAAGTTAATAAAAGTCAACTTTATTTATTTTTGTTTATTTAAAACGCTGATTAATATTATTTATCTTCACTGTGTTTGCCTGATGTCATGTTGTGCCCTTGTCCTGTCAGTAGGTGGCACAAATGAGCTTTAAGGAATTCGTGGCTACGGGTGCCGCGTAGGCTCAAAAAGCAAGTTACTGCTGAATAGAAGCGACCCGCCGGGTTCATGTTTACATATTTTCCAAGGTTAGTAGTACAATAAAACTTTTAAATCTAAAACGTACCCAATGCGTTGTACAGTTGTTTAAAGTGGTTTTATTGTCAGAGTCACTCAATAATATGTAAACGCATTTAATGGGCCCGTCTATGTTCTGGATTTTCTCTGGCGTTGACTAATTAGCTCCAGACACTATGGTGAGTGTTTTTCAGGCTTCCTGTTTGCTATTTCAGATTTGTAAAACTTATTTCCTTGTGAGTCCAATAAGGAACAAGTTTCAAGTGCTTAAGTTGTGGCTAATTAGGTTATTTTTAGTGTTTTTTTTGTATGCAAATGACATTAGCATAGGCATGTTTAGTTAGCTTAGAAGTCATGTTTCTCTGTTTTGGTCAAACACAGGTTAAAAAAATCTGTCAAGTGCAACTAAACATTAGGCTCAGTCAAGATGAGCTGTCATCACCTGGTGAGCAGGTAGGACCAGGTGGCAGCAGTGATGTTAGCAGAGCCATAGATCAGTTTGTAAACAGTCTCCAATTGTTTTGATTATGACAGAGCAGCCTGTTAAAATGTCACACAGGCAGTCTGTGGCCTGGTCGTGTTTTCATTAATTTAGCCTTTAAAAAAGAAAAAAATAAATCTACAGTCGTCCTCAAATGTATTCATAGCCTCCCATTAAAGAAGGAAAAAAACAAACAGCTGTTACTGAAATAAGCTGAAATTGACAAAAATGTAATGAAAATCATGACATTGCTTTGAAATTGTGGTTCAACAGAAATATTTAAAAACAAACAAACAAACAAAAACAAGCATGATGGGACCCGTAAACTAATATTTAGTTGAACAACCCTTTGAGCCAATCACTGCCATCATCAAGTGTTTTCTGTAACTCAGTCAGACTTCTGCACCTGTTGACAGGTGTTTGGATTTCACTGCTCATCAGCAACGTGCTCTAATCTGTCTAGTTTGTTTTATTTTTTTTTAATTATTCTTTTCAACCACAGTTCAAAAGCAACATCTTATTTCACTAAATTATAATTTAGGAAATTTTTATTTATTATTACTTTTTTCAGTTTCTAGTTATTTGAGTGACTATTGTGAATTTTGCCTTTTCTTTAATGGAAGGGGATGAATACATTTGAGGACGACTATAGCTTCACTGCATGCAAACGTTCCACCATCACTGTTTTCATCCGGGTCTTCACACCGCTTGCCATGATTGTAATTGGTTTAAAGAATTCAAATAAGAGAATGGAGTTTAATAATGTGGACCATTTTCTAGTGTTGTGTTAGTCTGGTTGTGCAGGACTCATGCTGCAGTAACTTAGCGGGGACTAGAGGCTTCTCTGTGCCCAGCTGCCTCATCGTGTCTACCAATGCACATGAACTTCAGTAAATCATAGCGTCCACTCATGCGTGTGAGGTGTTTAGGAAGCTTTGCTAAATTGTCGTGTTTTACAGACAGTCTGTGTGTGAGACATTTCAAGGACTTCTGTGGATTCTTGCTTCAGAAAACAACCCGGTTTACACCCGCCCCCTCCTCTGAACCGCATGAGTCCCTTTACGAACATCAGTCACATCACACCACCCACCACCGCAAGAAAATGCTCGACCTCTGGGGAACCAGCAACATGATGCATTGCGTTTATTTCAGAGACGGTGGCGTTGCTGGGTGCAGTGCTTTTGCAGTCAGCGTTCTGATCTGACATGTTTAAGAAGGAAGAAACTTGTCCTGTGCTGTGACAGGTGTGTGGCCAACAGAGCAACCCTCCTTCTCTGCAGCGTTTCAAACCAAAGCAGCAAGGAGTCAGAAATGACAATAAAATGTAACACTACATATAATATGCATAAAGAAGAGCCACATTTTTAACTTTTTGTAGTCCCAGATTATCCTTATGATACAGGGTTAAATGT